GTGTCAGAGAAGCTTTGAAGGATTCCGAAAGAGCTTCAAAGAGGTTTTTTATAATGAATATAGTAGTGTTGCATTGTCATTGAAGTATTAGCCATGATTTTTTGACACCATACATAGTGAGTACATGCATTCATGGATTACAAATTGGTGTCTCATATTGAAATTTTGAACTTGCCACCTAAAAAAGTACAAAGCTTCTACTCATGACTCATACCAAACTTGATTGGTATGTATAGTGTCCAAATTAAATTGTTGCTTCTTAATTCAAATTGATCACTTTGAAGCACTCATATTGAATTCGAAGCATATGCCTTTAGTGTAGTATTCCTTCGAAGCACTTCGATGGTGCTGTTGTGGTATTCAAAGCACTTTATTACTCATATCAGTTCTATGCTTGATTCAGCTCTTCAAAAATTCAAATAAACATCACTTTTAAAGAGCCGCGGAGGATAATGTTGATACCACAAGTAGTAATATTATTATTATTACTATTATTATTGCAGGACACGTGGCACTTTCTTGATCAATCAAGAGTTAAGAGAAGTTACAAAATTAGTGGTCTTGCATAGTAGAACATAAAAGACAAGGTGGAAGAAATTAAAGCATATGTGAAGAATATGATAGACAAAGTGACTTAATGGAAGACATGGAGGGATATGTGACATTGTGGGAATGAAGGTAAAAGAATGAGTAGTTTTAGATGGTTATTAGGTAGTTATTACTAGAAAGTTTTTCCTATAAATAGCCATTGATGGCTACATTTACAGAACCCAGAACCAGATTCAGAAGCCAATTTATTTTGATTTATATTTTTCGGTCCTTTACATTTCTAGTCCTTTATTTTCCACACATTTATTTTTTTGTTCTGCACTTCAATTCCTAGGAGTAGTTCTAAGATAGTTTGTTGCTATATTTCCCTTCGAAGATGTGAGAGTGCGAAGGTACAAATTGTAAACTCTTGGTTATTTAATGAAATTTGATTTCTCCATTTTTCTTTTATTTTTACGATTAGTCTTATGAATTTTCTCTTAAAAACAAGCCACTAGTAAAAGTCTTTTTCATTGAGGCTAAAAGAATTTTAAAACAATCGTCTGGTTAATTGGTTGGCACTTAGTATTTCTGTAAGGACTTATTGATCCTTACTGGCACGCTCAAATTACATTTCTAATCCTTGAAAGCCAAAAAAACCAACAAAATCAATTTTTTAAAATTTTTCTAAAAAAAGAAACCTAGAAATAAGCTCTAATCCATTTATGAAAGTTGTTATTAATTTAAGGGAGAAACAAACCCTTTATTTTTTTTTTAAAAAAGGAACTAAATTCTCCCTCAATTTTTCAATAGATATATTTATAATTATGATGAATTTTTTTTTAAAGTAAAGAAGATTTTAAAGGTAAATTAAATATGTTATAAATAAATTTTCACTCAAATAACATAAATTAGGATTAAAGATAGCCTATGACACGCCCTAATTTCGGTGCGTGGGGTCGCCAATCAATGTACCTACTTTACATATAAATGTGAAAATGTGTCTGGACCAATAAATACAAGTCCAACGACTATAAAATTGATACACCAGAAGATCTAGTTTAGCCACAAGTCATATTTTCAAACAATTTTTTTTTTCCCCCTATTTCATTATTAATATAAGAAAATAGTTTTGCTATCCAGTGGAAAATGGTATAATTATAGTAATGTTGCTCAAATGGTGAGATACTATTTTGGCAGAACCAAACACATAAATTAGTAAAAGAAAAATGCTTGGGAGTACTAATTAGTGTTCCCACTAATTAGGTGGTAGTGGGTTCCGCCATTAATGATGTGATGTTTTGGTCTTGGAGTTGTGTTTTTTTTTTTTTTTTTTTACTTTTTTAATGCATTAGTGCTATTAGTGGTGATATTTTTAGTGGGATGAATCATTGTTGTTAGTAAAAATTGGTGTGTTCAGACGGACACACTACTTTTTGTGTTTGGTTTTGCAAAAATAACAATTTTGTAAAAATTTATCTATTTTGCTGAGAAATAGAGGAAGGGAAGTTTTGACAGCTGTTGACACATATAGTAGCTGTCAAATTATAGTTATAACAGTTCCACTAATAAGTCATTAGAGAGACTCTTAATACACTAATTAGTATACCATATCACTTTATTCTTAAAAATTAGACTTTAACGTAAATATCATTTTTTAAATTGCTTTTATCTTTTTTCAAAACACATTTTACTTTAACTCTCTAAAGCACTAGTTATGGTTTGTGTTAATTTAAATTTGTTAAGCAATGGCTTTCTCGTTTGGAAACATGTTAATTTAGTAATTTTTTTGTTATTTGGCTAAAATATGAGTTAAAAAAAATTAATATGTTGGGGATGACTTTTTGACTTTTTACAAAAAGATATACAAAAAGTAAAGAGAAATTTTTTTTTTAACTTTTTAATATAAATTATTAATTTAATAATTTTTTAATTTTTTAACTAAAACGGAAGATTCCAAACCAGCCTCACGATACTCATTCTATTTGAGCTATTAATACACTTATCTACACAGTTAAAAAGAAAAGTGGTGGATCCCAATGTTAATAATATATTCCATATCAATCTTTTCGGTTAGAAATCTTTTTGATTAGAAAGAAACGAAAAATAATAGAAAGTAAAGTAAAGATTAGATGCATCCATTTATTTAGGTTACAAAATTTGTATTTGACCATAAAAAAAAATTTGTGGCAAGGAAATAATTGAAAATTTTAGCTTTATTAGCTTTATAGTTTGAGAATTATTAATGTTACAAGAAAATTTCTTAAGGCTAAGTTTTACATCTCCCCAAAAAGATAAAAAATAAAAAAGTTATTCAAAAAGTTAAAAAATTATCACTATTCACTCAAAAAAATATTAAAAAATTAATTTTTCATAGAAAAGTACAACTAACAATCATGTATGTTCAACTCTGTGCTGCGTTTGTTAAGAAAAATTACACAATTTTGGTGCAATTTTCATACACTGCTGTTCGGCCCGTGAGGGCCCATCATGGGTCCCTTTTTTATAATTCGAACCGTTCAATCTGTAGAACTCGTCGAGTATAGGCCTTGTTTGGTTTGTGTTTCTCAAAAAATTTTGAGAAAAATTCTCTATAAATAAGTTTTCAAAAGTAATCAAACCAAACAAATTTTCTCAAAATTTTTTTCCAAAACTTGTTTGGTTTACAAATTTTTCAAACAAATCTCTCTCTCATACATATCAAATCAATCATTTTTTCCAAAACTCTCTCCCAAAATAATTTTTCAAAACATCTTTTGAAAAAAAATCAAACCAAACAAATTTTCGTACTTTTTATCTCAAAACATGTTTTTCAAATACAAACCAAACAAGGCCATGTCTATAAAAAATCACATTGATCGGATATTGATAACTACATGATCAAATCAGTTTTGTATAAAAAATGGATGGTGTTATAATTAACGATTGAAAACAAATAAATTTGATCAGATAGCTATCGATATCCGATCAACATGATTTTTTATAAATATATAGTACTTGACGAGTTCTATACATTGACAATTCAGATTATCAAAATGGGACCCGTGATGGCCCCCACGGGCAGAACAAAACCGTCCAGTGCAATGCCCGAAAAGTTGCCAATAATTTCTTACCATTAATTCGGCTGTGCAGATTGTACGACTGTACAACACACATCTCTGATCTTCTCCTACACACATCTTTATATAATTTTTTAATGCACATTTTTTCATAAAAAGTCAAAAAGGTAACCCAAATATCCATATTTTTTTTCTCAACTTTTTAATCCAAAAAAACAAAAAATACACTTATTTAGGACACTTCAAACAACTCCTTAAATTTTATATAATTTTTGTTAAACAAGTGGATCTAACAATAGTAAAATCATGATTTTCTATTTGGTACACTTCAAAGAAATAAAATGAAATTGAGTGATTATTCCTTAAACTTTCTGATGAAATTATCATTATCTTATAATGGTGAATAATAATTTTATTTATAATGTATTTTTTTTATTATTTTTAATCAACTAAATATGAGAATGAATATTTTGATAAAATCATCATTTTATTGCACTCCGTTCTAATTAACCAACACCACTTGAAAGTATGATAATTGTTTTTCATTTTCATGGGCAAAAAGTAATATTTTGTTGCAAAATTTAAGTTCAAGACCTTAAAAGGGTTGTATAAAAATTGGAGAAATTACATTTCAAAAACTTTGTCAAAAATTAATTACAAAATTATAAAAAAGTTTATAATTTTATTTCTTAATATTTATAAAATTTATCACTAGTCTGTAAATATAGTTCTAAATACACACTAAAATGAAATTATCCCTAAAATTTTTTACTTACATCGCTGCTCCTTGTTAAATAAACACCTAAAATAGTTATTTTTTTATTTTTTTTATTTTCAAGAACTCTTGTTAACAAATTTTAAATTATTAAACATTTTTTATAAAATTGTGTGTAAAAAAATATAAAGTAAATTATACTAACATTTCTTTAAAGTTTAAAGATAGGTAAGTACAACAAGTCACACACAAGTTTAATACAATTACACCGTGTTTATTTAAGGTATAAATTCTCACAACACTTTCCTTATCTACCATCAATCATATTATGAGTAATATAGAGATATATATACATATATGCTATTATATATTTTACATTTAAATTTAAAATTTATATTTTATTATTCATATTTTCGTACTTGGATTGCCTTTTGCTTCAATTAAAAGAAAGATTGATATAATTATGTGTAAATTTGTATTTTTAAAGAAAGAGAATTACAATATTTGAAAAAATATTTACAATACATAAAATAATTTAAGATTTTAATTATTAATATTTAATAAATTTTAGTATCATTAATGCTTAATTTATTTTTTTTTCAAAATTCATTTTCAAAACCTTTTTCTCATTGACAATGAAATGACATTGACAACTCTTCTTTTATTTTGCAAATTCTAAAATATTTATTTATGCCTACTATTATTATTATTTTATATTAAGCTTTGTCCACAAAATAATCAATTCATCAATCATTTGAAAGGAGAGATCGCTGTGCGGAGGAGGAAGGAGGAAAAAGAGCAAATTAAACCCCCACTGCCACTCCTCTCTCTCTCTCACACTTTCTCTCTCTAAGGTGATTTGATTTTCTCATCTGGGTTTTCTTTAATCTTTGAGTTCTGTGCTCACATCATCTCTCAACAAACTGTTCATGCAATTTGTTTTATTTATTAATCAAACCAAGTTTGAGTTTTTAATCTCTTTTATCTAGGGTTTTGTGATCTTGCACTCTTTCTTTGGTGATTCTTAACTTGTGTTGTTATAAGATCATAATTTTATGGTGATATATGTGTATATATGAATAATGTGATGTTTCTTCTTATTTTCATTTTAAGTTACATCTTGCAAAATGAAGCTTGCATTTTGATATTTAAGTTGTTTAGTAGAATATTTTCATTTTAAGTTACATCTTGCAAAATGAAGCTTGCATTTTGATATTTAAGTTGTTTAGTAGAATATTTTCATTTTAAGTTACATCTTGCAAAATGAAGCTTGCATTTTGATATTTAAGTTGTTTAGTAGAATATTTTCATTTTAAGTTACATCTTGCAAAATGAAGCTTGCATTTTGATATTTAAGTTGTTTAGTAGAATATTTTCATTTTAAGTTACATCTTGCAAAATGAAGCTTGCATTTTGATATTTAAGTTGTTTAGTAGAATATTTTCATTTTAAGTTACATCTTGCAAAATGAAGCTTGCATTTTGATATTTAAGTTGTTTAGTAGAATATTTTCATTTTAAGTTACATCTTGCAAAATGAAGCTTGCATTTTGATATTTAAGTTGTTTAGTAGAATATTTTCATTTTAAGTTACATCTTGCAAAATGAAGCTTGCATTTTGATATTTAAGTTGTTTAGTAGAATATTTTCATTTTAAGTTACATCTTGCAAAATGAAGCTTGCATTTTGATATTTAAGTTGTTTAGTAGAATATTTTCATTTTAAGTTACATCTTGCAAAATGAAGCTTGCATTTTGATATTTAAGTTGTTTAGTAGAATATTTTCATTTTAAGTTACGTCTTGCAAAATGAAGCTTTTTAAGATTAATATTTAGCCTTAATATGTCAATTTAATTTTTAAGGATTTTCTTTTTAATCATTACTCTCGCTTTTCTAATTTATACATATGTGTTTATGTGTATGTATGATTTATTCAGAAAATTAAAATCCTACTATTATCCAGTGGCTTGACTTTAAATGTTGCAGTGATATCACAAATATTGAAGCAATTTATTGTGATGGTCAAATGACACTTTGGTTGTTTGCATAAACTTGATTTGATGAATGTTTAGTTTTGGAAAGGATCATTTTGTTTGGATGTTCCTCTTGTTCTCTTCACTTGGCTTTTGTGTAGTAAGGGACATTGATTTAATGTAGAGGATTGCAATGTCATTTATAGTGCATTCTATTACATGTAATTTGAACACCGTTTATTTGTCTTCTTAGGAGTTTTATTTATTGTTTTTTCAATAATCAAAAAATTGGTTTTAACACATAATTTTAGTTTGGATGCATTCTCTTTCTTAACCTATGCAATTGTAACCACTCATTATATTGCAGGATTTCCTGTGGTGGCTGAAGTATTTCTCTTTGAAAACTATAATTGGAGAAGTTCTTGCACATCATTGCCAATTCTGAGAATCAGCTACGTCTCGGAGGTCTTTGACGACTGCCTTTATTTGGGTGTCTATGGTAATGTTCCCGGTTTTTAGAACATAATTTTCTTGCTTGAGTGTTTCGGATGCTTGCTGAGTTTCTCCATGACAATTAAAGAAAATTATTCTTTTCCCCAAAATGTGATGTGTTATTGCACGAGTAATGGAAGGTTTAAACTTGAATGAGCTGGACTGTAAAACCTATGTTTGAATTGTCTATTGCATTTTGCAGTGGTTAGTTAAAAATGCTTTGTGGTTGATTGGATTTTTTTGTTTTTTTTTGAGTTGGATGGTGACACATGTCTTGGTTTTGTGATAGACATCTTTTGCATCATGTTCTAAACTTCTCAACTAGGGCATATGTGCCAAACTTAGCACTTTGTTGTACAATGAATGCTAAGATCCCTTTCAGTCAAAAAGGATATAAATTCAGAGCTTTTCTGTCTGTAGAATTCATTAATTGACATCAAGGAATATTCTCACAAACATTACTTGTTGGATTATTGTGGTAGGCAACCAATGAAAATCTTCCACCGAACGTCATTAAGCAACTTGCGAAGGAGTTGAAGAATCTTGATGAAACTCCTCCGGAGGGCATTAAAGTAGGTGTTAATGATGATGATTTTTCAATCATATATGCTGACATTGAAGGCCCAGGTATGTTATTTTCACTCAAACCTTGTATGATCATTAAAGGTATTTATTTTTTAGACTGACCAAATATCAACCTTGCAGCTGGAACTCCCTACGAGAATGGTGTTTTCCGCATGAAATTGATATTGTCTCATGACTTCCCGCATTCCCCTCCCAAAGGTTTGTTGAGGCTTATGAGTTAAGAGAATTTATTTCACCAAAGGTTGTGACATTTGTCTTTCCTTTAGCCTGTAAGTAGTTTAAATTGATTGAGGTGTGAACTTAAAGAAAAATTATATATTATATGTTGCAGGACTGCCATTTTTGACCTGATTTTTACTCATGTAGTGTGATCATATACCATTCGTAACCTGTCTTTTGTTTCTTTCAATCTAATCTTTCTATATTTCGTTTTTTTTTCTCATTCTTATCTCTATTTTTTTGATGGTCAGTAACCTTTCTATATTTCATACTTCGCTACTCACAACTTGATGATTCTTTGTTTGCCTGCGTCTTTAGATCCAGTGTATATATAGTTGTGTGATGATTAGTTTACCGTGCGGATCTATATATAGTTTTTGCATCCCCCAGCCCTTCTGTGATTGGTGGCAGAATGGTATCGTTATCACCGTCTCCCAGTGTATATGGCAGTGGAATTTCATATATTTTCTGAATATTGCTTGCTTGGCTTCAAGAATTTTGTTAATGTTTTGGCCATAGTTGGTGGAGTGAAGATTTGAAAAGGATTTAAAAGGGTAAATTACACTGACCTCCCCTGAGTTATAAGATCATAATTTTATGGTGATATATGTGTATATATGAATAATGTGATGTTTCTTCTTGAATGGGAGTGTAGATTCTTGTTGGGTCTTTGATGATGCATTTGGGTTTTGATTAGCATGCTCTGTGAAATTCTTGGCTCTCAGTCTGCTCTGTTGCAGTTTTTAAGATTTCTGTCTTTTCAAGAACAAATTATTCATCATCAATCCATTCCCATATGTTGAATCCTCTGTGAATTTTATTGTAGGTTACTTTCTGACTAAGATTTTTCATCCAAACATTGCAACAAATGGTGAGATTTGTGTCAACACATTGAAAAAGGATTGGAATCCAAGTCTTGGGTTACGACATGTTCTGATTGTAAGTTGATGTGCAGTTTAGAGTACTAGTTTTGTTTCACTTTGATGCAGAGACCAGTAATTTGTTGAACCCATCAATCCTCTAGAGATTTTTGCATTCACGTGGCTTGTGTGCTGGTCCGATTATCTTCTCATTAAGCTCTTATATTTGTTATATATCACAGGTAGTCAGGTGTCTACTGATAGAACCATTTCCAGAATCAGCTCTGAATGAGCAGGCTGGCAAGATGTTGCTTGAAAATTACGAGGAGTATGCCAGGCATGCTAGGTGATACATTGCCACTATGTCATTTGTTTATTTTTTATTTTTCTGAAAATGTGAGACTTCTGCGTGATTGATCTCAGTGGTTATCAAGACTGAACCCATCATGAAGGTAGGTTATTTAAAAGGGTAAATTACACTGACCTCCCCTGAGGTTTATGCCAATTATAGAAGCCTCCCTTGACGTTTCTAAAAAAACACTAACCTCCCTTCAGGTTCAATTTTGAATTTCACTTTTCCCATCTGTTAGTTGTCTGTTAATAGTACTAACAGATGTTGATCAGATCATCACAAATTTTCATGTCATTCCCAATTTTGCCCTTATTTATGTATGTAGACATAAATAACCTTAACTTTATAGTAAATGACAAAAATACAAAAAATGTGGATGAGAACTGCCTTTAAAGAAAGCAGTGGTCATTATGTGGTTGCTTTTCTTCGGTCCTTAATTTTGTTCTAGATTCAACACTTGTTTTAGGACTAAATCCCCTTCGGTCCTAAAACAGGCACACAAGGTAGCGATGTTGTATCGGTAGCTTTTCCTAGAACACATTGAGCTGAACACTTGAATTATTTGACCGACCAAGGTGTCATCTGCCATGTTTGGTCCTTAATCAGCTATTGTGTTTCCTATATTGGCCTTACTTCCTATAGTTGTGAAGTTTTCCTCATCATTGGAAATGCGTAGTTAAGATGGAGTTTTGGTTAACTTGTCATGAAGAAGATATAAATGGAACAGTGCTAAACATTACTCTTGGTTAGCAGCCATGTCAGCAAGAGTTGAATTGTGAAATTTCCAATGTTTGGTTGGGGGCTAATACCCTCTGGTTCTCTGTCTGGCGAAGTTCATGTGTCACCGGATGGTTAAATTGTTTCTTGCAATAGATTGGTGTTTCCCTTGAAGAAAATGGTTACTTCTGATGAAGTTTGGATTTTGAAAGAAATATTATATTGTTTCAGCACATTAGAAGATTATGTCACGTTCACGATAGTAAATATGGTGTATACATGGTGTATGCGATTGTATCATATGTGCCTTGTATGGATTTCTACTCATGAATTTACGGGTTGTGTTGTGTTTCTCGCTTTACAGACTGTACACTGGAATTCATGCTCTTAAGCAAAAACCAAAGTTTAAATCAGGAGCTATTTCAGAGTCGACCACTGCCTTGAATGTCGACCAGTCAAATACCTCAGTTCTCAGCGTTGATGAGAAGAAAGCAAGTTCTGGAGCTGCATTACCATTGCCATCACCATTGGCTTCAACTACAACATTCACCAAAGGGGGAAATGGGCAGGATCAGCCAGCCTCGGCCTTGAATTCAACAACCGAGACCGGAGTTAGCAGTGACTCAGTGGCGGCACCACCACCGGTGACACAAAAGAAGGAAGTTACGTTGGCAAAAGTTCAGGCAGACAAAAAGAAAATGGACGCAAGAAAGAAAAGTCTGAAGAGATTATGAAGTTTGTTTTATTGATCTGTTTGGTGGATTTTGCTGCTGACTTTGTGTTGTTTGGCTGAAAGATATTGTTATGTATTGAATATATAAAAATGAAGCAATGGATTAGCCAGACTTGTTTTCTGTGGTGTTGCTTTTTATTAACTCCAATTTAGTGAATTATGCCATTTCAAAAGCTTTACTTTAATAATGTCTTCTTTTTTTTTTTCTGTTTTTTTTTTTTGTTTTTTGTTTTTGATGGGAGTAAGGAATCCTAGGGCTTGACCCTGGGTTGATAATCATTGCTCATACTTTTCATACTTTTAATTTTTTGCTTTATAGAATCATTTTTCCCATTAAGAATCTGCATCATATTTAGTTCCTTTGAAAAAAAAATTTGCATTAAGAATCCATATTGTGCCCTTGTTTTGTAAATGGTTATATATATTTTTGAGAACTAGTAAAATGATAATTCTGAGAAAAATTAGCAATTTAAGTTTGGTATTTGTTTTGCCATCACACCCCTTGGTATTAAAATTTCTCTTAGACATTTATTTATTTTTCAATAATAAATTAATGTTTTTGTTGTTATCCTTGTAAGAATACTCAGGTATCTTTTGTCAGTTTTTTTTTTTTTTTTTTCAAAGATAAAATGTTAGTATATGTATGTTAATAAAGTTAGATTACAACTTAAAGAAATCGCTGTTGATCTATCAGCTCGAACCCTAGTCTTTCGACTCACTGCATCCTAAGGTACGGTTACATGCCACTTGGCCACAAGGGCTCGGCATCTTTTGTCAGTTTATTGGACGCTGAAATGGATTTTTTTTTGCATAAATTATTTTTTGAGTTGGGGATGGGATATTATTTGTTGTAAACTTAAACTGAAAGTTGATAATCTATAAGCATAATTTAAAATTTTGTTTTAAGAATCCAGATTGTGCCCTTGTTTTGTAAATGGTTATATATATTTTTGAGAACTAGTAATATGAAAATTTTGAGAAAATTTAGCAATTTAAGTTTGGTATTTGTTTTGCCATCACACCTCTAGGTATTAAAATTTCTTAGACATTTATTTATTTTTCAATAATAAATTAATGTTTCTGTTGTTATCCTTGTAAGAATACTCATGTATCTTTTGTCAGTTCCAAGATAGAATTTTAGTATGTTAGTAAAGTTAAATTATAATTTAAAAAAGCCGCTGCTGATCTAGCGCAACTCGAACCCAGACTTTCGACTCACCGCACCTAAGGTACGGTTACATGTCACTTGGCCACAAGGGCTTGGCATCTTTTGTCAGTTTTCTGGGGGCTGAAATGGGTTTTTTTGCATATAAATTATTTTTTGAGTTGGGGATGGGATATTATTTGTTGTAAACTTAAACTGAAAGTTGATAATCTATAAGCATAATTTAAAAAAAGTACTCTGAATAAATCACAACAAATGGTCCAATACAAAATCTCAAAATAAAGTCATAAATAATTTATTTAAAAATGTTCCTCAGTACTAATTCCCCTATTGTCATTCAAATATAACAGTCATAAATAACAGACTCTTCATTCTTCAAAATTTGGGGAGTCTTCTAGTTTGATATGTAGAGTAGAGTGTATAAGCTAGGAGAGATTGTCATCAGGTAGAACTAAAAAGGGTCTGAAGGTCAAAAGCAGTCCAATCGCCTCGATCAAGTTTAGGGCGAAGAACACCATATGATTACCTGCATATCAACATTACTTCAGATGATAAGAACTTTAAAGCTAACATATCAATGTTTCATCTTTAACATAATTTACATGACATAGACATAGGATTAGAAACATGGAATTAGAATGCTATATTATAGCTTTGTACCTGGAAAAAAGTAAGCACCTTGACGCGTTTGTGCCCAAGAAAAGCTGCAACGATGGAGAATCATCCATGTTATACAATAAGATCAAATGCATGAACATGGAATTAACATTAATGATGAACATAATTAAACATATAAGCTTTACACAACTTATGCAGTATTCCTAAAGAAGGATATCAAAATGTTTCAGAAACATAAGAGAAATGAAAAAAGAATATGAAAACTTGAGGAATGAGAACAAAACTAATGCCTACGTATGTAAATGTAAACATTCACAATAATCAAATTATTGAACATGTTGAGAACTACACACCTCTTTACATAAAGGGCACAACAAATGTACAATCGAGAAGTAAACTCAATGTGAACCAAGAATTATTAAATTAATGTCAAACAAGTCAATCTGTATATGATTCTAAATAAGCATAAGATTCCAGCCAAGTCAAAATTTTACAAAACTATCAAAAAATAACAAGATTAATAATAAACAAAGGCTAAAAAGGTTTCCAGGGTGTGGGAGGCCATTTAGACATCTAGTCTTTTTTTATTTTCCACCCATTCTTTTTAACAAATCTATCATCCAATAAAGATCCATGAATATTGAAGCTCATATAAAAAGGTTTGAATTGTTAGTTGGGGGGGGGGGGGGGGGGGGGGGGAGGTTTGCCATCATAAGAGAAAACATAAGAAATATAGAAGTAGGATTATTGAAAACAGAAAAGAAAAAGTGCCAGTGACGAGGAAGGAACTTATAGTAACAAAAAAAGAGAACGAGTGACTTAAACTTGCTTGTTCGATCTTTTCTCTCTAGATTCAGACCAATTTACAAAAACTGAGCAACTCAATTATTATCCACATATTATACATCATTAAGTTGATGTATTACAAGAATGAGAAAAACTCAATTAATCAAAGAAAAACTTACAGTGAACCTCCTGCAGCTGGACCAACTGCTTTAAACAGAGACATTGCAGACATAGAAATGCCATTTGCAGCTCCTCTTTGTTCTTGTGACTGAATTTTACATCAAATAATCACCCAATGAAAAACAGCTTATGGACCTAAATTGCAAATTGGAAAGAGTTCCAAGGGAGAAGACATATACACTACAGAAGGGGGGAAATTACCACAGCTCTATTTTGCAGAAGAAACAATCCCGTTGTAATGGATACCTGATATTGTTTAGAGTACACATGTAAGGGAAACATCAATCTATTGCAAGAAACAACTTTTGAAGCTGAGCTTAATTTAGTAGAACTTGGCACAGTGGTTTGTTGAGCCTGAGTTTGAGTTGAGAAAACATGCTATTTCAAATTATGCTTCCTAAAAACAAGGATGTTCAGAGTAATTATTAGGAAATGATATTCACACTTCCCTTTCAGGTTATCACACATTGTTTTTGTTCTCTTGCTTCTCACCAGGGGAGTTTGAATCTCATTTCCCTAATTAAAACATATTCCAATCTGTTTGCATGAATTCAAAATTATATGTATCTGCCATTTCCACTGCTAATTGTATCCATTTACAATGAAAAAAGTGGACACACATATTGGCAAGCTACTGGAATATTCATCAGCATGAAATTGGTGTTTTTTCAATTAACAAATCACAAGCATTCCACAACTAATTATGCCTAAACACATATCAAATGGGTCAAATGCAATAGAGTAGCAGAAACTGCAATTTAGATAATATTCTGCTATGAAAAGAACTTGTCATCTGTGGCCAAGAACATGAATATTCTAACTCAGCACAAATATGAGATCGATGTTTCAGCTGTTAACATATATGAATGTGTAGGGCACTGGTAAATAGACACAAAGGACAGTTGTGTAAATGTTTTTGTGAGGAAAAATGTATTCCCTTGTCCATGTTATTTTTGTCATTGACAATTTCATTCCACAGGTGAAGTCTATAATTGTTTAGCATAGTTGAGCCCTTGAGCAATTCTGGAGTGGAAGATGAAGACTCGAGATAAAACAGACTATTATTGGAAGGTAGAAAAAGTTTTGAGTCTTGGTTTGCACTTACAGAGAGAACGTTCTTTAGAACAGATGCAGAACTAACCACCAATGCGAGACCAACACCAGAGAGCATAGCTATGTACGGGTAACTAGATAACAACGGTATGGATAAAGCCTTAACATAAAGCCAATTATAAACAACATTAACAAATTAACAAGAACAGCATAAGCAAATTGAAGTAGAAATAGATTGAACAGAAAAGGATTGTTAGAGGCATACAGCTCCAATGCGAGAAACCATTATGGGCCCAACAATTCTCACCACCAAGGGATACAAAAATAGCTGGAAAAGTAAGAGCCCAAGCCCTAATAGTCAGAAAAAAGAGGTCAGCTATCCTTGTCCTGAACAAAACAAGGAGAACAGAAAAGAAAAAAGACGAATGCAATGGCAAAAGAATGGTCAAAGAGCACAAATTTTGTTATAAAAAAAAATTATAAAGTTGAATCCAGAGGAATAAATTACTTGATTAATGAAAACATTAGCATGTTATGTCAAGGGTTTTCTTTTGGAGGTTACAATTACATAAAGTTTGTTCCCTACAGTAGGCAAATGAAAGCTTGGTAACAAAAAAAGAAAAAAAAAAAATGTATTTAAAGGAAATGTAGGACTTGTTTGCAAAGAACATAGACACGTGTATATATATATCTGTGACAGCAAGAAAAAGAATTTAAAAGGAAATGTAGGACTTGTTTGCAAAGAATATAGACACTTATATATATATATATATATACCTGAGACAGCAAGAACTTCACCAACATCTGCAGTTGTATAGCTCAATCCCCCATAGCTCCTTGGACTGACAGCCCACAACGAAAATATCTGAAAAATATTAATATAGCAACAAGACAGCATCATGGTTAATCCATGATTAGAATAATTCCTAGTTGGTTGGCAATATTGAGTATGAAGATGAACAAGAATATACATTAAAATAAACCAAATATAAATACCAAGCATTGTGATCTGAGGTATTACACTACAACATAAATTTACCTTCAATAAACTAAAATTATTTCCTTGAATATATTGGTACATGTCAAATTGCATGTTGTGCAGACAATACTGATTTCAGACAAGCAGATTGCCAGCATTGTACTCTCAACATTTGTATTTGACAAGGGACGTGATTATGTACATTCTGAAAATGCTACAAAAAGGTCATTATTCAGCTATGATTTTCTGGTCTAAATCATGCTATAGTAGTAAATGGCCTTCACTTGAAATATCATTTTAAAGAGGACGAGGTTAATTTAAAAAAACTCCACATTGAACTACAGACCAAAGATCTCCAAAAAAAAAAACCACACTGAAGTTTTTTCTATAGTGTACAGATACCATTTTCAATATGTCATTTATCAGAACCATCTCAGCATAAATCAATAAATTACCCTACTAGGATAAGGTTACAGTCTCATTGAACATAAAGATGATAAAAGACAAGTTACACAACTTGATGGGGTTGAGATGCTATGAAAAATTGAAATTTATTCAAAAATTTCAAACAACCAGAAGCTTAGACATGAAAACCACCTCCGTATAGGCCATATCATGAAGTTGGAAAACACAATACACAATGATAGACGACATTAAGGGCCAATTTTTTAGAAGGCTCATAAATGAAGTTGAAACTTCTCCAGAATTTTTCACTTCTTCCAAAGCATTGGACTCATTAGTTGCAGCCTCTAATGCATCACATGAATCATCTTTTCCATTATGGTTGTGCAGCGTTTCCTACAATGACAAAGAAAAATGGTACTACATATTTTTTAGAACTAGTAAATGATAATTTTTAGAAAGTTGAAATGTATAGAATAAAAATGATAAAAAGCATTAGATTGAAAGAAAAACATACCGGAAGCCAACAACAAACAATGGATACAAACAATGTGAAGAGTGATATTGTAAGGCAAGGCAAGAAGTAAGGAAACCTAGAATTTAACATCCTGTCATTCTTTCTTACGAACACCAAGGATAAAAAAAAAAGAAGGAAATTTCACAATGAAAGATTAAGAGAATACGAAAAAGTAAAAAGTTGATAATATATCTCACCTCCCAAAAATGGATTCTTTAGAAAATATATTGGGATATTTTTCTGCAGGCTGCAACATGTAGACATTCAAATGAACTTTTAAGTAACAATCTGAGTTTCCATTCAAAGCAAAAGTTAAATGTGTATATATATTACATGAAAGTTAGTTTTCCATGATTCGTATTTTACGTAGAGCTCTTACTGACCAATGCAAAAGTGAAGAGAGATTTTTCCTCCATATACAAGGCATGAAATTGTGGTGAAAAAAAATATAAAAGCGTACTTTATATATATCAATTCAAGAAAGACTTGTCTGAACAATGTTGGCCCATTCAGCCATATCTAGTGTCATATCTTTTGTGAAACAATGATCCACAGAAATTCAATAGTTAACTATAAACCATATAAAGTTCACCAAATTACCATATGCAGGCAGCACCTTGAAGGCCAAAAATGACTTGTATTCTAGAAGAATAAGGGTTATTAAATCATACAAAATGTTTCAACACATGGAAGATTTTAAAGGACAATGTGGATACCACAAGAACAGGGCCATAAATAGCTAAAATCCTATGCTTGGCGGTTGAAATCCCCTAGAGTTGTGGATACAATTTTGCATCCATTCTGAACAAATAAATAATTACCATTAATGTTAATAAAAAATCTTTCAGCTGATTAAAAGTTCAACAATTTGTGTACATCATTTCTTCATTCTCAGGAACATATACTTGAGTTTGAAGAAAGAACAGCACCTGTGCAAGAAAGCCTCCAAGAGCTGGACCAATTACCAATCCTATGCCCCATGATGTGCTTACCTGAAATGAACAAGATACTTCTCCGTGAGAATTATGCAGCACAACTTTAGACATAGATTTGGGTAGGGATCTAGAAAGGGAAATGAGAAGGCGAGGGAAATGGAGAAAAACTTTAGCTTATATTTCATTCACATTTCCCTCACAGTTTTTTCTTTCCCTTTCCAAAAACCCAAATCCATGATTCAAAACACATGCTTAGGATTCATGAGAATCTGATAAAAGATTCTTACGATTGACATTCCCAAAGCTTGGTATTCTTTACGGCAAACTTCTGAAGCATATGCCTGGGTATATTGAAAGACAAATATTTACGTGAAGTGCAACAAAATATCAGAGAATAGTGAAGAAAGATAATATACACAAACACATTTACAATTGGGGACCCAAACAGTAGGCCATTACCATGGAGTATGATTCGTCAGCTCATTATGTATTCTATAGAATCGAACATCATCTACCTAATGATTATAATAGTAGCACATGTTTGGCTTGCTTATGTAGGAGAGGCTCGCCACATGTGAGGAGGCGTGCTGAGGATACAAATAACAAAATTACCCATCTCTAACAGTTTTAGATGACTTAGTGCTCAACAATTTATTAGCCACATGCACATTTTGAAAGACCACCCCCTTTAGAAGATGTAATGTATATCTATAGAAACAAACGCCAGTAGAATTGCATAATTGATAATTGTAAAGAACTCATATATATAATATGACATACATACCCTCATCGGCCCAAGTATTCCACACAAACTTCCAAGAAGAAACCTTGTACAAACTGCCATCCAAAAGTTTGTACTAAGACCAAAGAGAGTATTAAAAACAACCCTGTGATGAACATCAGACAAAAAGATGGAAAAAAATTGACATGAGAAAAATCTACTTTGGAAAGTGAAAGGGAAAGGGAAAGGGAAAGGGAAAAGGTAGATAAAATATGAATAAAATATACTTACACTTCACCTAGTTTCACACACCTTTTCCCTTTTATTTTTCAAATTCCTTCCCAAATCCCTCAACCAAACACAAGTTAAGCTAGCTAAACATCATCAATGGAAATTTGAACTAATATGCAATCAAGAAATAGATGTTCGGTAATACTAACACTGAAATGGTGCCAAACATTATGACAGGCTTTCTACCATACCGATCAGCCACCATCCCCCATAGAACAGAAGTCAAAGCTCTTCCAAACATAAATGAAGATCCTTCAAGAAATGAAAGGAAAAACAAGGGAATAAGCAAGATAGACAAAGTTAATATACCTTCAAAAAAAAATGTATGCGGAAAATATGTTCACCTACATAACCAGCATAGTAACCAATATCTTCCTCCCTTTTTGCAATATGGAAGTCTCTTATCTGTGGAAAGGCTCCACATCACTATAAGGTCAGATCTTAAATGAACAAAAAAATAAAAATTACCACAATAATATTTGCAATATAGACCAGACAAACAAATAAATAATACTTTCTGTTTTCACTGCAATAACCATGAACCGACACATCCTGAAAAATAGTCAAGTATCTTCCCAGGTGACATTAGTTTGGTTACTGCAGTCAATGTAGAATAAACAGGTTTTCCAGAATTCTCCTTTCATCATTGCGACATACTTTTAAGAACACAGAATATGCCTTTTCGTTGTAAATTTTCATGTTAAGGTCACACAGTTCAGTCAAAAACATAAACACCACAGTGGAAACATTAGGAGTACGATTATCCACCTTTTTTTTTATATAAGAGACTCAGTAAATTGATATTAATAAGTCCCATTTAATCCACACAAAATGGATAAATTACAAATCCAACCCTTGAGGTTTACTTAAAATACAAATTACCTCATGTAATTATGAAAATTACACCCTGCCCCTTAAAGTTTCTAATTTCATAACAAATGGGCCCTTTTATTAATAAATCACCAAGTCAATTAATAATTTTTGATGATGTCAAAAATTTATTTCAATTAATAATTCAGGTAATTTTTTTATTGTATAGGAGAGCAGCTAGGAATTTTATTTTTTCAATTAATTCTGTTAAATAAAAAATTATGATAAGGGGGTATTTGTAATTTTTCAAATCACAAAGGACAATCTATATTTTAAACAAACTTTATGGGGTATATTTATAATTTACCCGCACAAAAAATGGTAAACATTTAGATCAAGCATCCAAGTTATTTTGGGGCACAAAAGCATGAAACATGAGTTCCAGAGTGTAATATACATACCATGAAATATAGGAAAGGAAAAAGTGACGATATTGGCAAAGCTGTACATTTTATCCCACATGAAAAAGAAGAAGAAGACATGTTAGGATTCAATTCTTTGAGAAAAAATATAAGACTAGCAGACAATCAGCCATATTTGTTATAAATGGTGATAACATAAAGCAAATCCAAGATCACCATCTCCAATTGGTTAAGCTCAAGCATCCAACTGTAAAGTTTGGAACATTAAAATGACATTGAGAGAGTATGACCCAGTGCATGAGGTAGGCTCCACTAAAGTGCCACCCGGGATGCTAACGGCAAGCCTTACCGTTGAGAGAGAACAACAAAGTCCATCATTTAAAAGTAGATTCCTAGATTGTATCAGACATCACTTGGCTATATTTCAACTGTACATTGCTTTTAAGAAGAAAAAAAAGGACACCACCGTTGATGCAATTATATTTGTGTGTTTGTTTTTCTCAAAACTTACTAAATGGAAATCCATAATTCAATGACCTCATGTGCTATATTACGGGGACTTGAATATTGGTGTCATTACAAACTACTTGTACCATATCACACAAGGATAAACACGAAAAAAGAAAAAAGGAAATCCAGATATAAAAGTAAGACACATTACTCATACGACTCAATGCTACAATTCACATTGTGCATATTCAAGTTATGGTTTGCATTGTTACGAACTACTGTAGTATTTGGTTATGAACTAGCAAATTGTTAAATCAAATTTGATTACAACGTGTTTGGTTATATTTCAAAATCATATTGGTTATGAGACTCAACATGTGTATAATCAATTGGTTATGATTCAATGTGTGAATGATCAATGATGTATATTCATTTTTTTTATCTAACAACTGAAACTAGTGCATATAGCACGCAGCTTTTATGGGGACCTTACAGTATAATTTCCACATGCAATATATTAAACACACATCATATATATGAATATACATGAGTAATGATGTAGGCCGAAAGGTACCACATTAAGGCCACTTAAGTTACATTTTTAGTCTTTCAATTTTGTTTATTTGGTGGAGATGATGTGTTTCGTGCACTTGTACAGATTTGGCAGGATATATGAAAATTCAATCAAAAAGGGCGCGAAAGCAGATTTTCCGTGCGAGAAGTGAAGAATCCGAGCTAGCCAGACCACCGCACGTGCAACCCACCACCGCTTGAGCGGCCCACCTAGGGACGCGTGCACAGAATTTTTGGTCTGTTTTGCTCAGAATAAAAGGAAGAAAAATAGCCAAACCTAGGGTTCGAAAATTAATTCAAAGCAAAGGGAGGCTAGGGTTCTAAAGAGGTGATTTTCTCCTAAAGCTTGAAGGACACTTCCATGAGAGTTTCTTCCTCGTCTTCTTCCTTTTCTCACTCCTCCATGAGTGGCTAGTCGTCTTTTCTAGGATTTTGATGAAACCCTAGTCATGTGATAGGATTTTTCATAAGCTTTGATTGTGAATCGGTTTGAATCAATGTATGGATGATTTAGAAGTTTTTAATAATTTTTTTTTTCATCTCTTCAAGTATTTTACTCTCTGTAATTGTTTAATGCTTTTCATACATTTGTTTTCTTTGTGTTTGCATTCAAAGTACAAGACGAGCCATGCTACGAGAGACGGGTCGTGTTGCTACCATAGTTTAAAGCAAACGACTCGTACTACTCGAGATGATTTGAGCCTGTACTTTGAATGTGACAACCCTCTTGATCAATATTTCAAACTTGTAGTTGTGAAATATTGGGTATTTCAAACCGGATTGTAATTGATGGCCGATGTTAAATCTCGTTCATGTGGTTAGTGGTGAATTCTTTACCCTAGGATTTTTTCCAAAAATTAATATCTCAAACCCTAATTTCAATATTCAATTTAATTATTCAATTTCATTTAATTCTTGTTTAGTCATAGCATCCTCAAATCTTTTTAACCAAAATTGATTTAGGAATTTAGCGATTAAATTAGTTTAATTTCATAATTGTCCCTGTGGATCGATACCTGAACTTGCCATTATTCTGAAATAATTTGGTATAGTTTAGTGATTTATATTTGGTGTGTTCAACGACCCATCAAAAGTATTTTACTCTTTGTGATTGTTTAATACTTTCCATACATTTGTTTTCTTTGTGTTTGCAGACGAGTCATGCTACGAGAGAGGTCGTGTTGCTATCATAGTTTAGAGCAAACGACTCTTACTGCTCGAGATGATTTGAGCCTGTACTTTGAATGCGACAACCCTCTTGATCAATATTTCAAACTTGTAGTTGTGAAATATTGGGTATTTCAAACCAGATTGCCATTGATGGCCGATGTTAAATCTCGTTCATGTGGTTAGTGGTGAATTTTTTACCCTAGGATTTTTCTTAAAAATTAATATCTCAAACCCTAATTTTAATATTCAATTTAATTATTCAATTTCATTTAATTCTTGTTTAGTCATAGCATCCTCAAATCTTTTTAACCAAAATTGATTTAGGAATTTAGCGATTAAATTAGTTTAATTTCGCAATTGTCCCCGTGGATCGATATCTAGACTTGCCATTATTCTGAAAGAATTTGGTATAGTTTAGTGATTTATATTTGGTGTGTTCAACGACCCATCAAATTTTGGCGCCTTTGCCGGGGACTTCTGATGAAATTAGTTAATTTAAAGTTACATTCTTATTTTAATTTTTAGTTTAGGATTTTATGCTTTCGTGTTACTAAGTGTGTAGAATATTTGCGATTGGAAACATCACTGGAGTGCAAGCGAAGCATAACCAAGTTTTTAAACAAAAATACCGCAGCACCAAAGTGTTTAAAAAAAACAGAAGCAAATACTCGCAAGCAAAGCACCAAAGTGCTAAAAAGAAAGACAAAACTCAATTGGAGGTTGGGGACAACGTGTACACGTCAAGCATCCGCAAGACGAGTAAAGCGTTTTCGTTAAATCACTATGAGTATTTCTCCCTTTGGTATTTTGCTTTCATAACTTAGTGCACAGAGTCGAAACTTCGTGTGTGTGTGTGTGAGTAGTGTATGCACAGGCACCGTTCTTGTCACCCTGAATTGTGGAGTTTAGACTTTGAACTAGAAAGGACTCTTAGGAAACTTAGAGCCTATGCCCGTGTTCCTAGGCTTGAATATTCATATTCATACTCATACTTTGAATCATTATAGATGGAAAATCCAAATGTCCCGAATGGGCCCAATCGGACCCTTAAGGATTATTTCACACCCACTGCATACACATCACCATCATGCATCCAATTACCCGACACCACTGCTGCTCATTATTAGATTAAGTCCAGCACCATACAAATGCTCCCATCATTCCATGGACTAGCTCATGATGATCCTTATAAACATTTGAATGAATTTCTGAAAATTTGCTCTACAGTGAGGATCCATAATTTCACAAATCAGGCCTTAATGTTGCAATTGTTCCCATTCTCATTAAAGGACAAAGCCAAACACTGGCTGAACTCCTTACCTGCTAATTCAATCACAACTTGGGACCAATTACAGTAGCGGTTCTTGGAGAAGTACTTTCCCATAGGTAAAACCAACCAACTTAGGCGAGCCATCACCAATTTTGCTCCAATTTTGCTCAAATTGATGGCGAGCAATTCCATGAGACGTGGGAAAGACTTCGTGACCTTCTCCAATAGTGTCCCTACCACCAAGTGCCTGATTGGCAACTTGTGTTGACTTTTTACTATGGCTTGACTGAGCCTCAGCGCCAAATTGTGGATTCTTTGTGTGGTGGGACATTCATGTCTAAAAATGATGACGAGGCATGGCAATTATTTGAGAACTTAACTGATAATTCCCTTCACCATGCCTCCGCAGCCTGGCAAGTCCAGCAACCAATAGTTGGAGCCCCGAAGAGGGGGCATTTATGAGATCGGGCAAAACCTAGAGTTAACCCAACAAGTAGAGGCATTGTCCCACAAAATAGACCAATTATTAGTTGCGGGACATGCCCCTACACAGCAAGATCAGCCTCAATTTCACGAGGTGTATGCTATTTGTGCGAGCCCTGCTCATGACCTGAGTAAGTGCCCTTCGGCATCACAATTTCCGGAGCTAGTCCAAGAGCATGTGAATGCGGCTCAAAGATTCTTCATATTCCAATACATATAATCCGGGATGGAGAAATCACCCCAATTTTTCATGGAGACCTCCTTCACAAGGCACTTCTTACAATCCTCCACCACCAAGGCAGAATTTTAATAATTTTGCCAACCAATTATCCTACCGATCATCGCAACCTTATCGACCCCCACAACCATACCGGCAACCACAACCCCCGCATGTTCCTCAAGGCAACTCAGCCTTTGAGACTTAGGTGTTAGAAGTTCTCTCAGAACTTAAGGAGTTAGCACCAATAGTTCACTCCCACACTCACTTTATTGCCAAGCTAGAGAACCAATTGGGTCAAATGGCTAACAACATGAATAGGAGAGAGGAGAGAAAATTACCGAGTCAGACTGTGGCCAACCCTAAGGGACAATACGGGGCAGAGAGTTCGGGTGGGAATGGAAAGCACCATGAGCAGGTGCAAGCGGTGATTACTTTGAGAAGTGGGAGGGAGTTAGAACCTTAATCAGTTGCGTCTAATGCAACTAGAGCTAAGAAAGGTGACCACGGTGGTACACCCAATGAGAGCAAGGGTGAGGGAGAAACACCTAAGAGGGATGACTTAGTCCCTAACACTTCATATGTGCCTAAGGCACCCCTTCCCCAATGCCTTGATACACCGTCTCCTTTTAATAAGAAGGCGGCATTCATGGAAGCGATGATGGAGGTCTTTAAACAAGTAAAAATCAACCTCCCCCTGTTGGGGGCGATTAAGTAAGTACCCTCTTATGTTAAATTTCTGAAGGACCTTTGTACGCAAAAGCGTAAATCTAGGACACACGTGTCCCAAAAGGTCATACTCACGGAGCAAGTAAGTTCCATCTTGTTGAATGACACAACCCCTAAGCTTAAAGACCTAGGTGCCCCAACCATTGTATGCATTATTGGGGACCATTTCATTGATAGGGCCTTGTTAG